TTCATTTTGACGAAAATCGACATAGACATACAAAATTTAATAATAAAAACATTTTAAAAAAACAGTCGCATTGAGAACCTTCTCCTTTTTTGAAATCGGTTAAAAAGAAAAATACGTCGTCACTATAAATGATTGTACCCATGTATTTACAACCGTGCCGATATTTTATATCGTACAGTGAAATTCACATAAAGTCTATCCGGCGCGAGTGGCGCGGCGGGCACATGTTCATATTTATGGCGCACGACACGCGGCGGTATTATTTCGGTCCGTTGTCCCGGGGAGGCGTGTCCGGGTATAAATACGCCAGGCCGGGCCCAGTGAGTCAGCGGCGCGGTAGCCGACTTGTCCCACATCTCCACGCCATTGCATTACTCACGACGGCAAACCCGGAATCGAAACGGCTGCGATTAATCGTCTGCGCTTGCGTTTGTCCTTTAGACATCGTCGCCGTGTAGTCTACTAGCTGGTGCCGGCTGCTTTGTCTGCGCGGGATCAGTACGAGTCGCTTATTTTCTTCTCCAAGGCCCTATCTATCTTTATACCAGAATTCAACAAAATCGGCTCTGCCGTTTAGTCGTGAAAGCGTAACCTTGAGAGACCCTTGTTTCATTATAAATTATATATAGCTTATGTGTTATTTTGATGTATAAATGTACATTCAGTCGTTTTTGCGTGAAATAGTAACAAACATCAATAGATCCATACATACAAACTGTTGCGTGTTTTAATATTAGTAAGGACTACTAAGGATATTAGTAAGGATATTAAGTATATTATAGTCTGTATGAAAATTATTGGACGGGCAAGAGAAGAGAACGCTCTACACCATACATTCATGTCGTTTCGGGAATATAGCTAATGATGCCACGGGCAGGTTCGTCCGGGAAAGTACCGCGGCCATACAGAAGAGCGGCGTGAAGTGTAATTATTATACTTTTGCGTTTCGAGCCAGGTGCGAGTATCAATTTTTTTTTGCAACCCGTCAGGCGCTGTAGATGTCCATGGGCGGTGGTAATAATGGAGCGTCATTTCCCTAAATAAAAACTCAATTCGGTTGTATTTTTGTTTGTTTACCTCAGATCTCCGTCATTTATTAACCGATTTCAATTTTTTTTGCCTCCGATTCGGTTTAGCTCTGACGTTGTCCAATATGGAAGGGTGTGTACTTAGAGCTTTGGAGTTATGTCAGGGAACTCTTCAAAATCAAGTAGAAAACGTGAGGCGTGTGACGTATTTGAAGTTATTTTTTTGTTAATAAAAACGTATTTGTTGTTTGTCTATTTTACCTGGGAAGTGTGTGGTCGTAGGGGGTCATAAATCGCGACGGTCGATTATGTGGCGGACGGTGATAAAATGCAGCGGTCACACCCGGGGAACGTAACGGTCGTTTAACGCCACCCTATCCCGGGCAGACGTTACCGACGCCAATCCGTCTGCCCGGATGGCAACGGAGAACATTACGAGACACTTCGCCCCGGTACCGAACGTGACAACGTTTAGCGCGGCCACGCAAATTACTACGCAATGGCGTTTTATTCCACTGCGGTGAAGAGCGCTATTATGGCCGTATATTAACATCTTTATAGCTTACGGTATATGTGATAGAATTTATTTATTTGTTAGACTTACGTATTAAAAATGTATTGATATAACATTATCGATGCTCTTATACGTACCAAATGACAGGTATTTACAATTTTTACAAAAATGGCACTAGGTACGTGCAAAAGTATTTAAAAATACGATTGACAAAAAAGAGTACAGTACTTAAGGTCTACGGTTAACTTTAAAAAGAGAGTACTTAGTACGTACTTAAGGTCTACGGTTAACTTTAAGTTAACCGTAGACCTTAATGAGTAGACGTTAATGAGTAATTAATAAAAAAATCGTAGTATATATAGAACGAAAGAGAAAAATAAAATGAATTTCAACATCAAAAAAACCAAATTAATAAGAATAGTAATTTAGGTAGCAATGACATTGTTTTGTTGCAGCGTGTTGTTTTTAATTACATATAAACATATTTAGTCTAAGGGGACTAAAAACTTTTTTATTGTTCATCATGTACATTAAAAAGTAATTTTATTTTTCTACATTGTTCTTATTTGCATTACAATTAACTATCATTCGATTCAGGCTTAACTAAATAACGTCTCATAGAAATAAGTAAATCATTTAGCACTGCCTCAGTGGATTAGAGAAAATGTTCTCCGTTAAGAGTTAACAAATAAATTTGTACTGTAACGGAAGAATATCTCTCTTATCTATATTGTCAGAGTTCGGTGACACTGCAATTATGTCCCTTGCGTAATTTGGTAACGAAACTGCTGCCTGAGATAAAATTCTGTGCGTTCTGTGATGTAATGTTGTAAAAGTATAACGTAATTAATCATTTTTGTTTATCGTTTATTGAATAACGTTTAGGTACGACACTTTGTAAACTGGCTAACAGTAGAACTGTTTGTAGGATTTTATTCACAACTAATTTGTTTTTAAACTTTCGGTGCTCGGTAACAATTCATTCTGCGTATTAAGGATTATTACGTTACGTTTCTTAAATAACTAAGGCTACCGTCCGCTGATGATTTTAAACTCGTGTATTTTATATGTTTATCTCATTTCTATCTTCTTCTTTCACATTATTTTGTTTCGGGGTGTAGCATGTGAAGCACATAGTTAGTGGTATTGCCTAGATTTTTACGACTGGCCGCCTGTTTGACGTTAACCCTTCTCGGGAACATACAATTAACACGTAATTTTTTATGTGAGAAAGTGCCAAACGAGCTGGCGGATCACCTGATGCTAAGTGCTACCGCCCATGGATATAAGCAACATCCGTAGGGTTGCAACCTTTAAATAAACGAAACCTGACCACACTCACCAGTCGAAACGCAGAAGTGTAACACTTCCTAGTGACCTAGTCATTCGTGCAACAGAGAACACTGTTGCGTGGCCTTACAGTTTAATTAACACTTAACACACAATACTTATCCCGTGTGGATATCGAACCCACGACCGCCAACGACGAAATCAATAGCCCAGCAACTGTGCTATCATTTCTATCGTAGTATATAAACATTTATTAAAATACAAGATTGTTTGCGGCGCACCCCTCGCTTTGATTTGCGATGTCTGCGCAGAGTTGTCCGCCATTTGCATATTTTTCTTAACGCTTAATTAAAACTTAAACGAGGCATGCGGTCGAGTGCCTCAATGGGATTTCTTGAAAGAAAGGTTTACATCAGCAAAAATGTTTTAACCGCCACATTCACTAGAATTGGTATAAATCACTTTTAAGCATTACGGCAAGTTAATGACAAAGATGTTTAACTTCATTTACTAACGACTACTTTAGTATGAAATGCTGATTATTTGAAAACATCAAGATTATTTTAAGATTATGAAGCACATCTTCATAATCTTAAAATAATCTTGATAATCATAAATAAATTCAATGCTTATAAATTTGTTTAATATTTTCCTTGTAATTAATAATATTTTTATACTTAATACAATTAAAAACGGAAACGTGTTCTGAGTTAAAAAAAAATAAAGCTGCTTTTCGTTCGACCTGTTTTGTTTACTTATTTGATGTGCCAAATTGTACCTACGCCCAAAATAAGCGATAAACTTATTAATTTTATTTTATCTTGACAATTTCTATCTGATACTATTTAATAGATTTTTAATCTCTTATTGAATAATATTGTGATACCAGAAACATGGTGACGTAGACTATCATAGGTCCATATTTGAAGATAGGTCTCCCCCAAAACCGAAATTCATCTTCACCATCATTTGATAGGAAGAAAGGTTAGCCCCCTGTTACCAGCTTCTTCCATTTGACCGCATCCAACGTAGGGCAGCTAGGGTTATCGACGATCAAGGTCTTTCCGATCGGCTTGATCCTTTGGCTGTGCGAAGAGATGTTGGATCACTCTGCATCTTCTACCGTATCTATCACGGGAAATGTTCCGAGGAATTGTTTTGATTGATCCCGGCTGCTGAATTTCACCATCGGACATCGCGTCAAAACCAAAACTTTCATCCACACCACCTCGATGTCCAGCGTTGCACGACAGCGCGATTTTTAAGGCATTTCCTGCCTCGCACAACCACTCTGTGGAACCAGTTGCCGCCGGCGGTCTTTCCGAACCTTTACGACTTGGGAACCTTCAAGAAGAGAGCGTACTCTTTCCTAAAAGGCCGGCAACGCATTTGTAAGCCCTCGAGTGTTGCAGATGTCCATGGGCGGCGGTGATCACTTACCATCAGGTGAGCCTCCTGCTCGTATGCTTTTTTCCCATAAAAATAAAAACAAGTGGCAGCCTCATAGTGTACAAGGACCTTCCACTAGATGGAGTGACGTCCGCACATTATTATTTTTTTGCACACACAAAACTCACCACAGCAAAGCGTAATCTTATATCGTTAGAAAAATGAAACTATATCGAACCAAAACTGTAATTATTGATTATTGGTAAATTATTTCTTAATTTACTTTGTGTAATCATTACTTATGCATGATATCATTTGTTTCACCTTATCGATTAATAATGGTATATTGTATAATATATTGAATTGGATAAATCATATTTTGTACAACACATTCGAATTACAAAGATACGAACGTCGAAATTTTGTCATCTTAATTAGTATGGTGGATAATAAACCCGCATATAAACGTACATATTTATTTAAGCAATACGCAGTATGAACGTGTTGTTCACTAAAAGTTTTTTAGTAGCCAATTAATCGAAAACGTTTGAATCAAAAAGTAATAGGTGTTTTTTCTGAGCTGTATTTATAGGTATATTTTTAGGTCTTTACACACAATTTTTTGATTTCACAATTTTATGTGTATGTTAGATTAAAAATGGATGTTATAAGTAGTTTAATTGAATCTGGCTACATTGACATAGAACACTAAAAAGCGAGTATCTTTAACATTTTACGTACTGAATTGTTATAACTAATTGGGTATGTTTTTGGTGCAGGTCGAATTCATAGAGGCGTACTGCACACCGCGCGACACAGCACGCCGCTCGCCGCAGCGCGGACGCCGTTCGCGGGAGCCGCGTAGATCGCCTGACGCTCAATGGCGTTGCGAGTCGCGTCGGCCCCACGACTTTGAGTCGGCCCGCCGTCCGTACGACTACGGTTCGGGGCGACGCTACCGCGGCTACGACGACGACTCTACACGCCGGCCTTCGTACGACGACGACTCTACGCGGCGGCCCGCCTACGACGCGGAGTCGGCACGGCGGCGCGCTGACTACGAGTCGGCGAGGCGCACCGACTTCCACTTGTCGACGCCCGGTGCGTCGCGTCGCAGCCCCGAGAGCGCCCCAGAGGGATCCGCGGACTCGCCCCCCGAGCCGGCCCCGTCAGCGCCGCTACGCCAAGAGAGGCAGCTGAGGCATCGCTCACAACCATACTACGAATCCGGTGCGTATTTTGTCAGCTGAATTTATACCGCTTACACGAACATGTGCGAGATTTTATCGCATTTAATTTTTTTATGTAACATTTCCCCTACTGTAGTAATATATTATTCTGTGTTGTATGGTCATTTTAATTACATAAATTTTACGGTGATAAACACACGGATCCGTTACTCTTATCTGTGTCGGTCAACTATGTGTATTAATTGTCCCATGTCGGAATTTGGAATCAATTTGTTTTTAAGGTCGTCAAACGTTATTATATAAGATTTATAGCTTTTTACAATATGTAGCATTCGAGTAAATTCATTCTAATCTAATTCGTTTTAACTACATAATTGAAGCGGAGGCGATCGTCCGAGATAAATACCGTATAATGAAATAACCTTCATTAGGCTCCATTTATTTCATTTTATTGTAACAGGCGCGAAAACAAATGCCATTCAAATAACTCCACGCTATCATTGAAAATGAACGTGGTAATTATCATTTAATCAATCATTGTAAGTGATAATTTTATTGCATTGCCTTCAAATTATCGAACAACTTAAAAGGCATTATAACGCAATACGGTTTTAAAATAGCGTTAGAAATGGAATAAAAAAGTTACAATCTTTATGCGGGAGCACCGCTCATCTCCAAGGACTAGTGGGACAAAGACTTCTTTCTTCCAGCATAACAATTGCGGTGGAGACTTGTTAAAGCATTGTTCAGCTGGCTGTAGAGCAAGAAACTAGTCGTGTCCATTTTCCGTGGCTATGATGAAAAGAAATAACAAACACGTGTTCCCGCTTTCTTGCATAACGTATGCGAGTTTTTCCTTGAGATTAATTACTTTACAATCGACTAGAAGATACCGGGCTCTTTACGAAAAATAGCCATATTATGTTAACAATGTATTTTTCTAGCATGAAGAGAAAATACATCAGTGAGCACGCGTGCTTATAAAAATCTTAGTTCCTTAAAACTTTAAAAGTTTACATTCAAAGAAGATATCACACTATTTTATTTTAAGATAATGTCAAGTCTCTAAGAAAAATTAAAATAATTGCGCGCATTACAGAAAATATACTGGATGAATTTTCACCCAGTATATTTTCTGTAAAGCGCGCAAAAACATCATTTTATTTAAGTAAAATGATAGTTATGTCATAAATACTATATATTTCAGCGACCATCAAGTGCTTTAAAAATTTATTCCAAAACATTTTAAAAGCGCTGACTCTTAGCACAAAGTCTTCGGTTTCTTAATTTTTAATTTAATATATATCGAAATCTTGCTTTTAAAGTATTAGGTACTTATAATTACCATTAGTTTAAACTATGTCGAACTGTGCTGATTTTCTGTTATGAAAAGTTTCGAATAATTTGGGGATACTAAACGGTATATTTAATCTATACGTTTTGCAGTTTTGCGACCCAAAGAAGATTTTGTAAAGGTTGCACTTTTAATTCAAATACGAGACGAGAAAACGAAACGCACGTACCACATGACCTACTACGTGATTTATTGAATATTGAATAACAGAAAAACAACGGGCAGGGTACCAGACATTCGATACCTTAATGCACGGATAAATGAAATGGGAACCGATTGGCTTTCCACAATTAGGCCGCTGGAGCTAATAAAAGCTGCGGCGGCAGAGAGCCAACAATGGCAAGTTTTAATCAGGGCTTTCCGTTTGTTCGTCCGTCTAGACTGGAAAATGTCTCGGCTGCAACGCGGCCTAGTGATTGCACACTGCCGCGCTCGCGAACAGCTTTTTTTTCACTCAACCGGTCGTTTAATAAGCTAACAGCCCGTCATTGTTATTACGAAATGAGGCGCTGGACTCCTTTTTGCTCTTCGCTATTCCATCACGCTCATCATTGAACTACTCGCGAACAGTGAGTGACGGAGGTATAAAAACTCACAGATATATTTATGGATATTTTAACGTTTGTGGAGTGCTCTTTTAATAGCGTATCAGGAGCCATATTGGTTTTAAGCTGTTGTTTATGGGGTTCAGGATAATTGTGCAATATGGGCCGCTTTTAATATCACTGATACAATGAAATACATTTTGAAGTTGTTGTGGAAATTGTAACAACACGTGGAAATTGTATATATTATTAAGCTTAAAAATGATAATACATCAGTGTTTCAAGAAATGTTCGTTAAGATGCTACAATGATATCATAATTAATTAAATTACAGTAGTAAGTTATAAATACGATTAGATTCAATGTCTCTTGATGTTTAACGAGGCGTCGTTACGTTGATGACTTCTCTTACGTACGCCTAAATGCAAATATCGCCTCTGAAACCCAATTCACCGAACGATTGGCTCACGCCGCCGTTCTAAAAAGACATTTAAAGTCGCGCGACAATTCAACAAATTCAACTCGTGTCGCGCATCTGGTCATCCACGCGGAAAAGTAATTACGTCGCCTAATGACATCACTTAGGTGCTCCCTCACACCGAATTGCTGTCGCTTAGCGTCACCATCGAGCTTTACAAACCTACACATTGGAAAAACTACGCTAGGTAGAGCTACGAAGGATTTCTTATCGAATACACATGCTAATAATTGTATTTACACCCGGAATGAGCTAATTTTTTTTTAACTTCAACAAAAAAAGGCTTGTAATCTTCGCGCGGGTGTTTGTCGCGGCTTGAGGGCTCAAATCCAGACTTTTTGTGCACGGCGTGCATTCAGAAGTATTCCTTTGTTGTGTGCAACTAGGAATTCTCATTAGGGTATTTCTATATGCCTTTGAAACAACATTAGCTTCGTATGTGCGAGTTTAAAGGGGGATTAATGCATTCATTAACAGCGAAGTAGGGCCTTTTGCTTTAATACAAAAATCAAACAATTTCGCAATACAGTGAGCTGTGTAAATATTTGTGCAGAACTAAGACGATAAAGCATTTTTATCTAAATTGATTTATAAATTTTCTTCAATTGCTATTTGTGAAAAAATATTTTTGAGGTTTGGTTTTTAAATGATTCTCCGTTGAGTTGAAAAAGTCTTGTTAAGGAGGGGAAAACGTTTACATGAAAGCGTTTTAAAGTACAATCGGGACGCTCATTTAAAGAACACCACTTGAGACGGCACCGGGCGGTTCTTAGACTGAACTTGTCGAAAATAAGCACTAAGTTTTTGTTTAAAGATTTGCGTTTTTAAAATAAAAAAAATGTCATTCGTTCTATTGCAATAGTTACGTGGCTCATGTGAAAATAATTATGAGAATAGCTGTTTGAAAAACCTGTCTTGATGCGTGTCCTCCGTCTTCTAGAATCGTCTTCAGGCGACCAGTCTACGTCGACGGACGACGACGAGGAGGAGTTTGGGGAGTTCGATCCGTTCGCGACCGCCCCCTCCCTGCATTCCCCGGACAGTGGCCGATCGGACCCGCGATACGCGAACGCGCCGCGCCGCAACCCCAGCCCGTACTACTACGGCGACCTGTTCAAGACAGCGCCACCGGCAGCCCCGCCCGCGCCCGCGACCACCTCCTCCAGGGGCTCCCGCTACAGAAAGTCGGCAAGCCTCGACGCACCCCACGTCGCGCCGCGCCCCAACCTGCCGAAGCGGTTCTCGGTCGCCGAGGATGGCTTCCGTGAGCTAGAGCGCTCGTCGTCTTCGTCGGGCGAGGGCGCGTGGATGCCGCCGCGGCGGCGCGGTCGTGACGCGGCCGGCTGCGCGTGCGCCGCGTCCGAACATGTAGAGGAGGCGCGGGCATCGCGCAGCGTGTTCTACGTGCCGGCGCCCCTCCCGCGCTGGCCCCGAGAGATGACTGCCCGACAGATCTACGAGACCGCTTTCGACTGCAAGGTCGCGCGCTCCGACGACGATCTCGACGACTTCGACCGCGTCAGCAACCACCCCGCTCTGCTGCAGGCCGAAGAGCGCAATGTCGTCTCGTCCACTTCTTCCGCTTTCGAGGCGGTCGAGCGCGGGGAACCGGACTATAAGGGCCGTCGCAAGGTGACCATGAAAACGGACAGCGTCCGACGCTCGAAGATACCCACGATACGCCAGAAGAAGGAGAACGAAAACAATGCGAGCGCTCTGTCGGAGGAGCTCGAGAAGGTGCACATTGAAGAAGAGGGTCGGATTGCGTCCACTTCTCAGCTGCCCCTAAGGGGATACACCCCGTCGCCGCCGTCGACAGCACCTCTGCCAACAAAGTTTCAACAGAAAGACGGATCTGCTATGAACAGTATAAAGAGCGCACCCAATTTGCCTCAATCACAACTAGCACACCCAAGACTCAAGGATCTAAGATTGCCTGTAAAGTCGTTGCGAGCCCGAGACACTCCTACCAGCAGTGATGCCAGTATGGCTGACGTTAAGGGGTCCGCTTCAACGGAGCTCGATATTGGACAGAGGTTGAGAGATTCGAGTCGCGAATCGCGCGATGACGAGGACGAGAGGCAATCAAAGGACGGTATTTTTTTAGAGATTAAGGGCCGACCCACTTCCGATTCCGACAGACCAAAGCTGAATCGGTACCCAGGGCCTAAGGGGGTCGGCCCTATAATAGAGTTCAAAGGAAGGCCTACTGTAGCCCGCCCGCGGAGGAAATATTCGAGTACGGAGAGCATGGCTACCAGCAGCAGTGGAGGCAGTATGGAATCGCTGCGTAGTAGCAACAGCGAGGGTGACAGAAGCAGCAGCAGTTCGGAGAGCCGCCATTCCTCTTCGCTCAGCTCGCACAGCTCGGACTCGGGTAACGTGCCATTCGCAAAGTCCCTGCACCACATGCAGCTGTCGGGGTTTGGGCATCATCCGAATAAGCTGCACATTCTGAGCCCGATATCGGACAAGTCGCAGGAGCCGGGCTCGGAGACGTCGGACAACAACAAGAACAACAACTCGCAGAAAGTGTCCCCCGAGGACTTGGAGACGGGCAACGCGGCGGTCACAACGGAGATCGCTACTAAGACGAAGCGCCGCGCCTTGCAGAACAAGAACCTGCTGAACATCTCTTTCCGGCACTCGGTGACCGGGGACACCGAGATCCAGGGCTCTGACAGCGGCATATCGATACACTCCAGGGAGGGTGTCGACTCGCGGAACGCGTTCATCAACTTCAAGAACAGCAGTAGTGTGAAAGAGGAGAAAAAAGGAGACGACGTGGACTTGTCGGATCTCCCATTCGACATGCCCAAACTGCGGCGTCGACGCGCCGAGGCCGAAGTCGACCTCCGGTCTCTGCCATTCGACATGCCCAAGTTGCGCCGGAAGCTGCGCGGCCAGTCCTTGCAGCTGAGCGGCGACTTCGGCGGCGCCATGTCCAACGCCTCCTCCAGCCAGAGCGTGCAGGATTTGAACCAAGGTAATTTCAATCAATCAATAATTCATTAATTCCAATTTTTTATTTCATTGTACTATTATTTATTGTAGAGACTGTTTGTTTGATCTGTCATCTGTATCTGTGTCCATTATTCTGTGAGTGTAATGTTCAGTTTGCGATCCTAAATAAATAAAAAAAATTATTTGCCGTCTAAGTGTACTTTATATAAATAGGCAAATTATGTAAATAGGTGTTGTGCGAACGCAAATTTTAGCTTTGTCTTGGGCTCATTTTTAGAAATTTAACGTTATTATTATAAATCGTACAAAATCGCAAGGACATCTTGATGCTCGTCGTAAAACGCAAAAGTGAAAGTTAGTAATCTAAACGATTGCTCAGTTACTGATATACAATCTTATCTACAAGTAGCGCATTGGTTGATGATAAATTATGCGCTTGGAGAGTACATCACATCTAAAAGCAAACGGAAAACAAAGCCGAAACCTGTCCGGTCAATTTTCTAACCCCCGTTCCTTCGCTCTCGGCAATTGCATTATTTCTGGATTAAGGTGTGTTTGACCAGATTTTACCGCGCGATACACTGCCATACAACTTTCTAATATCTAATTCGCTCGAGTGCCTACGAGGAAAATTCCCTACATGTCGCGTCCAATTTGTAAGGTTGCGTTAAAGTTAAAGAGAATCATGTTTGACGTTCGGTAAATCACGCCCTCGCAAAAAGTTTTACTGATCACAAAATAAACTTATGGGCATAACTTTCGAGTTAACATCATTACTTAGTTTCTGAACATTGTAATTTTTTTAAATATTCTTTTGCTAATAATTATTACTATTACTTAATAATATAAAATAGATATATATTTTGTTTGTTTACTCTATCAAGAGCAATACACGAAAATAAGTTTATTTACTCTGTCAAGTGTTACCTAGTGTTGGAATTTTTTGAACATTAGATAGGTCATAGTGTGTGTGTGTGTGTGGAATTCAATAAGATATGTTAAGTTTAAAGTAACTTTCGTTTCTTATTACAGGTAACAAGCATAGGGCGAAGTTGACCCTAAACTTCGAGGGTGGCAGCGGCAGCTCGGGTAGCGGGAAGGGGTTGCATCTGAACTTGGGACCCATCGCCCCCCCGCGGGATTTGGTTGACGCATCGCTACCGCTCGACCGACAAGGGTGAGTTGATATTCATTTATTTAGTATTAATATATTCTCAAGATTCGGTTCCCAAGGTGCTTAGTTTGTGAGGGGTTGATTTTAGAAGGTCGTTGTTGCCTTAAACCTCGAAATAGGAATCTTTTATGTCAGCACAACGCGTATCGTTTTTATCAGTCATTATTGTATACTAACGATGAGTCTTTTTGGTAACTGTAATATTAATCCTTATTTTTATATATTCGTTTGAAAATATAACATTCTTAGAGTTAATAAAATTTTTGGATGCTCACATATTTTTGGAACAAAAAGAAATATAATTACCGATTTATTATGCACAGGGTAAAAAGTATCTGATAAATACATCGATTAAGTTAATCATTAAAATTAAAGCTTGATTAAAGCAACGTATAAAATTTTAACAACAGCTAAAAAGTACTGTTCAGAATAATCACATGAAAGTTATAGTAAATGATCGTTCACATTTAGTTAGTTATGTACTCATTAGATAATAGAGAATAATTGTAGATGACCAGGGACTTATCATTTGTTCCTTGCAGGTGGTACCACGGCACGTTGTCCCGAGTGGAAGCGGAGGGATTGCTCCGAGAGGCAGATGAGGGTGCCTTCCTCGTCAGGAACAGCGAATCGGCGAAACACGACTACTCGTTGAGTTTGAAGTGAGTTTCTTTATGAGGATAATAGCTCTGTTATAAAATGAAGACATTGCTTCACTATTCACCTATTATAATTATTGAGGGCTACTCGACTGGATGGGATATATTTTTTACTAATACACAGTTTTATATATACTTAAATAATTATAAGTAAATAATGTTCAATCAAAGCGTCCAATAGTTATCCTCTTTATAACACGATCGGGGATGGCGAAGATAAAATTTTCTTTGTTAAAAGAGAAAGGCCTGCCTTTGACAAGGCTACCTTAACATCAGGCGAACCTCCTGCTCGCTTGCCAATTTTTCATATTAAAAAATGTTATCGTGCAGATAATGTGTATTTTTCAAATACGCAAACTCACACTGTGTTAACTTTTGTGCGGTATATATCTGTAACATGTTTATACAGCGTGTCGTTACCATCGCGACAATAAATAAACACACGTCTAACGCTACTTGCCAATAATCATAAAAAAATATTAACGTTAAACAAAATCCATAATTAAAAAAAAATATTTTTCAAACAAACTAATTAAGTAAAAAAGAAACAAAATTTGTATCATCCTATACAACTCGCGCCACAACGTCGTATTACAAGCTTCTCCTTCTAACAGTATGTTTTGTTTCTTTTAAATTCATTCAACCCATTCATGTGCTTTGTTACCTTTACAAATGAACTTTACGTTACGCTTCTAGAGGTGAGGGTGTTCTAAAATTCTTTGTTTTGGAAAATTTAATAACTCTGTAAATATTGATGTTTAAAGAATTTAAATGTTTATACAACTTTAAAAAGTTATCCCCTATATGTGTGTTCATTTATTGTCGCGATGGTAACGACACGCTGTATAATCAGACGTGCATGGTTGTACTTGAAATGAATGAATGAATAAATAAGTGACGCGTCGTCTGCCCGCAGGTCGACGCGCGGGTTCATGCACATGCGCATCTGCCGCGGGGGGGAGGGGTACACCCTGGGGGGCGCGGCGACCGCTTTCCCGAGCGTGCCAGCTCTGATGCGCCACTACGTGACGGCGCAGCGGCTGCCCGTGCGGGGCGCGGAGCACATGGCCCTCTCCACGCCGCTGCCCGCCGTCCTGCTCTAAGCGGAGCGCGACCGGGCTCCACCCGTGGAAATTTCCAGAAGGATCGATCGCTCGCTCCAGTACAGGAGTGAAGGAGCGATCCGTCCACACGTCGAACTTTCTAGAAGGATCGATCGCTCGCTCCAGTACAAGAATGAAGAAGCAACTGGACGACGGCCTCCACCCGTCGAACTTTCCAAATCGATCGATTGCTCGCTCCAGTATAACGGTGAAGAAGAGATCCAATGCCGTCCTCCATCTGTAGAACTTTCCAGAAGAATCAATCGCTCACCCCAGTATAACGGTGAAGGAGCGATCGGTCACCGTCCTTCACCCGTCGAACTTTCCAGAACGATCGATTGGTCACTCCGGTACAAGAGTGAAGCGATCAGATGAAGTACTTTGGCCGCTGAGCAATCGCATCGATCTAGTGTAGCCGATCGCACATTCGAGCTACCATCGCAGCTTTCTTCGAACTTTGAACTGAGATAAACGAATCGCATTTCAAGCCAGTTCGAAGCGGAGTTAACCCCAGTGAACGATACCAAAGAGTGAATGGAGTACGATAAGCCGCTCGCTATTGCCGCGCGACATTTCGCCCCAATCTAGTCAAGATCGGGGTACGCCCCGATATTGTAGTATTTAGTTAACGCTTTAACGGTACAAGTAGTATCGTTGTGTAATCGAAGTTATATTTATGTTTCTAAAACAATATCAGACTCGTAACGGAATTCAGTGAGCCAACGTGGCGTATGTTTGACGCTATTGAATATCTGTTAAAACGCGTTAATTATAACGACAATCTATTATAGAATGTAAAGTAAATTTTAGAACATCTACACAATACCAATAGAGTTAGTTGCGTTAACCGTAGTTTTATGGCGAATTTAAAACATGAACAATGTGTTGTCGGCATACTGGCTGAGACGTGAGGTAGTCACGTAACGTTATCGATTTAAGTACAAACCGGTATATACTGTATCCGTTTATAATATACAATTAAGGACTTTTGATACGTTCGAAGGATATAATCACTCTACAATAGCTCTGTTAGGTATTTTCTTACTATTTAGAGTAGGGTAACGCTCTTTACGTAATATTGATATAACGCATTTTAGTAACGTAATCACTTACCGTTTCGGAATACCAACATGTAGTTTGGTGCATCTCTGAATTGTAATTCCGTAGCGGGATTATGAAACAAGGCTGTGTTTAGTACAAAACACGGTTGCAATTTGCGCTTGTCCGACCTTACATTGTGTGAAGTGCGAAGACATGTTTTCTTTTGTTATCCGCCATGTTCGTCCGAATTTCGGACAAGCTTTTGCACGATTGTATTAAGTACTTCATAAATATTATAAAAAGCGGATTTAATCATAATTTACGTACCTTTAAACTACGGTACGGCAACATCGGACACGATTCTTTTAATCTTGTTCCTTGTTTTGAGACGACAATGACACTAATGTAAGATCATAAAACAAAAAGATTGCACGTGTTATGTAACGATCACATTGACTTATTTATATTTTTTGTTACTCTAGGTTTAAGTAGATTAAATGCGAACAAGCTGTTAGATAACAGTGGAATGGGTTCAGTGTTAATTACATAAGCACTTAGCACTTTCACAAAAAAATAGAAGTACCGAGTTGAATATGCTTCAACGTGCATTCAACGCCCAGAGCAGCCAGCACCATAACTAGAAACTTACTTCTTTCGTAGTTATTTCTGTGATTTAGTTTGATAATAGCGGAGCCAAAAATGTAGTGATTGTGTATATAGTGATGTGTTGTTTATTTTATATTATATTTGCAACGTTAGTCCAGTTGTTAATTCGAATTGATCTCAGTATGAACTTCCTTAGTGTAGTTTGTGTTACCTTCGACTTAATTTTGATTGATTTGTACCTGATTTTTTGTATCTAACACGCGTTGTTTGAGACTTTTTGATTATGTTTATAGAGAAGTGTTTTAATTTTATACAACTAAGGTACAGTAAGGTAATGTATGTAATCAGTAGTCGTGTATGGAGCAGAGTTTTGGTGTGTGCGAGGCGATTTATTACATGTAACCGACTAAACCACCGTTATGCAGCTTGAGCAAGCGTGCAACTAATTTCTAATGATTAATTTATTGTATTCATACTAATAATTTTTTGTGGAATGGGTCCATATTGGTTTAGCAGATAGCCACAGGCCAGAAATTTGTCATTCGCATTCTTTTGATGTTAAAGTAGACGCTTTAATGGTTGCATCGTTATGTCATAGTACCTATTATTGTAGTAAGCATATAATGGAACGTAGGTTGTCATTTGAGTCATTTCAGTTTCGGTGAGAATAAAAGAAATTGTGTCAAAAATTTTCCAACTATTCACCTGCATTCAGATCAATGTTTAGGTAAATGTTCTACAATAGCTTACGGTAGTTATAATCAAATGTAATTTTCAAAGTGTAGTTTAAAATTGATGATAAAATAAACCTCTTGGAAAAATACTTTGTTTCATTCTGTATCTTTTTTTTTACATATGAAAAGGTGGCGAGAGAGAATTCATTGAGATTACCTCCTCCATTGGTGTCTTCGATACCATCGGGGTTGTAGTTGTGTTGGTTAAAAGTAAACGCGAAAAATTCTTAGTAAAAATTCCGAACAGTACGTCTCGTTTTTCAAGTTAGAAAAAAATTTTAATCGATAGAGAAATGTTGACAATTAAACATTACATACAAGAAAACCAAGGCAAACACTTACTTTTAATAAAAAAAATATTTAAAACTTGTTATTTTCACTAAATAAATCCGCCATTTTGTGTTTGACAACGTATAAATTTACGAATTCACACACTTTTCCAAATTATAACCTTCGCATTATTAAAAAAGAGTCTTTAAAAATACTAAAAGTACTGTTACACTAAAGTTTTCTTAAAGTTTTCTTAAAGGTCATAAAAAAAGAACCTAACAACGAAGGCTAAGGCTTTGCTCCCGCCTTAACCTTCTAACCTAACCTATCCGAGTCGGATCGCTCTGTGTCGGATCTGTGACTCATTTTGAACCTAATATTCGAGACATTAAGTGTACACTAAGTCACAAATTTTAAATTTTAGAAATTGTTAATAATACATGTTCATGAAGTAGAAACTTGTGTTTTTGTGATATATCTGTGTATTTGTGTCTTCTTACAACGTAAAAAGTGAATACGTAAGTTTTTAACTTAAAATAATAGTCTATAATGAATAATGGACGCACAGTAATGACGGATTTCAGTTGTATGAAATTTAAAAACTTTGTTAATTTTTTCCTTTGAAAATCTAGTGGTTTTCATTGATTATAACTTATATAATATTTAGTTATTAACATTTCTCTATAGATTAAATTTTTTTTCTAGCTTGAAAAACGAGACGTACTATTCGGAATATTAGCCAAATTCTTAAACATAATTTCATTTAGTATTGTGTAATCTCATTAATACAAGAAATTATTATGCAGAAGATTTTGTTATATATAAAGTTGAAGGGATTGTTTATCCCTATCCTTATCTCTACCTTCCATGAGAGCACTCCTTATTATTGCCAAAAGAGCACACAGATTATACAAATCACTTTTTGTCCTAATAAAAAAAATATAAAGAGCTACCTACTGAAAAATAGCCAGTATCAAATTGAGCTCCGACAAGAGAATTATGAAGAGAAAAATATAACTCTAATATCGTCGTCGCATAATATTTCATTTCATGATGGTCAAATCTCATCAGCTTATGAGAAGTCACCACGAAATGTATTATGAGAGCTGTAACGCTCTGCTTATCAATCTTTAAATGGTAAAGCGTAATATAGTTTATTTATTTAATTAGAATATATAAAATAATAATAATAATATTTAATTAGAATTTGACATTTACGCGGCTATTATCCCTAAATTACACTAGGAATCTGTTATGATGGGCTATTTTATTTATTTAGTATTTTTATTTTGAAACAAAATCCACAGCACTTTGCTAAATATCTATATATATCTTATAATCTATATATATCTTACTTACTTAAACTATTTAGATTTACATTAACCTTAAAGTCAATTTGGGTTTAAGGTTAATTAAAACTTACTACCGCAAAGTAATAATGTAAATAAGAATTTTTGGATTTATTTAATTGATTATATAAAATTATATATAAGCATCACATTGTGGTCTTCTGCATAATTATTTTGCGTTATCAAAATATTTCTATATAATTATTGGATCTTACCATAATGGATTCTTCCTTAGAAGAAACTTGCTTTTATACGTTTGTAATGTTCTCACGAGCACTGCGTTCGATGAAGCTTTAATAGTGTAAGGTCTGAGAGCAAAAACATTAGTCATATAAAGATAAAGCTATTAGTCACAGAAATATAATACATCATAACATCTATATATATTAAATAATTCCCGAAGATAATTCATTTTTCCCATTTTATCTTTATTCGTAGCGTAACGTAGTTTAGTGGCAACGCCATCTAGTGCAAACCATTGGAACTTCAACTAAGGGTGATTAAGTTTCTTTACGTAGTGGTTATAACATTCTCTTTGGTTTCTATTTTGCTATCCAAAGATGTCAGAATAGCTGATCTTTCATAATATTAATAGGATAGTTTTAAGCCAAAATCTACTTCGAAGCATCATTCCTTCGTTTCTCATTTTAAAATATAATCATATTTTCATTTTAAACAGTGCTCTCTGTAAATTAACTGATTATTCAAAGTTAAATAAATGTTTTGATGGATTTTACTGATGACAACTTATTTAAAAAAAATCATGTCACATTGTTTCTCCAAAACAGGTTTAAACCGAAACTGAACTTTCAGTTACTTAAAATTGTATAACATTTACCATTAGGTAAGTACGTTGGTTCTTTGGTAGCTTATCCAGAATGAACATTAATTTACATGACACTGTAGTGCTACAAAAGTAATTTGAAACACTATCGAATTTCTTTAAAGTAAAGTAAAGTAAAGTAAAGTAACAGCCTATGCATGTCCCACTGCTGGG